CTCATTGGGGGTACTGGTTGGAACTGTAATAAATTTATAAACTAATATGAGGAGAATCTATATATTTAAAATGCTGAGGGGCACCTGGTTGGCTCAGTCAGTTAAGCATTGGACTCTTGATTTTGGCTCAGGTCATGATCTCAAGGTTGTGAGATTGAGCCCCTCTGCTTGTCCCTCTCTCTCCCTCTGTTCCTCACACCGCTCATGTACCCCATGTTGGTGCTCTCTCTCTCAAATAAATAAATAAAACCTTAAAAAAGAATGCTAAGCCTTCTCATGCATGGACATTGTATATATTGTATATATTTCTCCATTCATTCTTTTTATATTCCTCATTAAAACATTGTAGTTTTCTCCATAAAATTATTACACATTTTTATTAGTTTGCCTCTAGGTGTGTATAGTTTCTGTTGCTGTTAAGAATGATAGCTTATGGGGCGCCTGGGTGGCTGAGTGGGTTAAGCCGCTGCCTTCGGCTCAGGTCATGATCTCAGGGTCCTGGGATCGAGTCCCACATCGGGCTCTCTGCTCAGCAGGGAACCTGCTTCCTCCTCTCTCTCTGTCTGCCTCTCTGCCTGCTTGTGATCTCTGTCTGTCAAATAAATAAATAAAATATTAAAAAAAAAAAGTTAAAAAAAAAAAGAATGATAGCTTATATTTTATTACCTTTTCTAATCATTAATTAGGATGTTTCTCTTATGTCCAGCATCTTGCTAAACTCTTAATTAGTTTAGGGGCACCTGGGTGGCTCAGTTGGTTAAACATATGTCTTCAGCTTAAGTCATGATCCCCGTATCCTGGGATGGAGACCTTTGTTGGGCTCCCTGTCAGCAGGGAGTCTGCTTTTCTTTCTCCTTCTGTCCCTCTTCCCTACCCAACTTGTTCTCTCATTCAAATAAATAAATAAAATCTTTAAAAAAACCCTCTTCTTTGTTCTACCATTTTTTGCTTGATTCTCTTGGTTTCCCTACATCCTTTTTAACCCTTGCCTGCTGCCATTGCCAAACTTTGATTTTGCCAATCTGTTGGTAGAAATGCTATTTCATTATTGTTTTCTTTCCTTGATTATTAGTAAAGTTGAATATCTTTTCATATTTATTGACTCTTCCAGGTTCCTCTTCTGAATTAGTTGATTCTGAATTGGTAGAAATGCTATTTCATTATTGTTTTCTTTCCTTGATTATTAGTAAAGTTGAATATCTTTTCATATTTATTGACTCTTCCAGGTTCTTCTTCTGAATTAGTTGTTCTGAATTAGTTGAATATTAATCAACTAATTATCTTTTACTTAATTAGATAATTTTTCCTTAATTAGTTAATTTTTACTTTAGTTAATTATCTTTTACTCATTTTTCTTTTCGATCATCTTTTTTACTGGCTGATCTCCAGTAATTCCACAGATACTCTCAACACAAATGAAATTTACTGTTTTTATGTAGTCAGATATATTCATATCCCCCTGTTGTCATTGTGCTTTGTGTGTCTTGTCTAGGAAATCTTGTTCACCCATGACAATGTCTTTCTGTTCTCACCTTCAATTAAATTGCTCTAATGAGAAAACCAATGATCCCATGATACCACACCCCTTCTTAACAGTTTTACTCAACATCTTACCGGCGTTAGACTCAGTTGTCATTTCCATACTTTTGATGAACACTCTCTTCCTTTAGCTTCCAGGACAGCATGCACTCCTAATTCTTCTCTTGCTTCACTGGCTTCATTTTATCAGTTTCTTCGATGTCTTTTTTCTTTTTCTTTTTAGCTTGCAAATGTTAGATTTCCTCAAGACTTGTCCTGGGTCCTCTTCTTTTTACTATCTATTCTCTTTCCTCAGGTGACATATCTACTCCCTTGGCCTTAATTATCATGTATATATTGATGACTCCAACTTGTATTACTCAAGCCCAACTCAGTTTCCTGAGCTCAAATGATGCATCTGTTATCCTGCTTAGAGTCTCTACCAGGATATCTTACTACCATCTCAAATTAAGTATGTCCAAAAATAAGTCTTCACACTGAGAAAATTTTTAAAAAATTTACAAGTATAAGGAACAATATAACAAATACTCATATTTTTACCATTGTAACATATTGTTGTATATACCTCAAATCATTATGTCTTGATGTGTATACGTACATGCACACATTTGTATATTCTCCTTCACAAAATATGTAAATAATATAATACGGAGCTAAAATTTTTTTTTTAAAGATTTTATTTATTTATTTGACAGGCAGAGATCTCAAGTAGACAGAGAGAGAGAGGAGGAAGCAGGCTCCCCGCTGAGCAGAGAGCCCGATGTGGGGCCTGATCCCAGGACCCTGAGATCATGACCTGAGCCGAAGGCAGAGGCTTTAACCCACTGAGCCACCCAGACGCCCCTGGAGCTAAAATTCTTGACCTCAATCCTCAGTCCCAGTCTCTTTCCTTCCTTCCTAGAGACAACCATGATCCTGAATTCCATATGTATATTAGTGTCCATATTAATACATTTGCAGTAATAAATAAATGAATTCATGAATAATATAAAACAATTTGTGGTGTGTGGTTTTAAATCTTTAGATATTGTGTATAAATTACCTCCTTAAGTTCATGTTCAAGAGTTTCTTAAGGGTCTGTATTTAGAAGTAGAACTGCTGAGCTTCAAAATATATGAATTTTCAATTTTATTAGATACCACCAAATTCCTTTATAAAAAGACTGATTCAGTTTCCATTTCCATCCACAATATATGTGAAAGTAGCAATGTTTTCTATTGTTAGACTTTAATTTTTGCCTATCTGATGGTGAAAAATGGGATCTCAATCTTGTTTTAATTTGCATTTCCCTATTTTCCAGTGAAAATAGTTATTTTCCATTTGGGTTCCATTTAGGTTTCCTTCTGTTTGGTTGCCTATTCATAAATTTTGATTATTTTCTTTAGAATTGTCTCTTAAAAATTATTTGTAGAAACTTCTTATTTGAGGTAATATGAATCCTTTGTTTTATATATTATTAAAATCTCTCCCCTAATCTGTTGTCTGTCTTTTAACTGTGTTTATAAGGCCATCTATTGTACAGAAGTCGCAGAAGTAAAATTCTAATGTAGTAAATTTTATCAATCTAATTTTTATGCTTTGTGTCTTCAAAAAAATCTTTCCAGAGGTGCCTGGGTGGTTCAGTTGGTTAGGTGGTTAAGTGTCAGCCTTTGGCTCAGGTCATGATCCTGGGGTCCTAGGACTGAGCCCCGAGTCTGGGATCCCTACTCAGTGGAGAGTCTGCTTCTACCTCTCCCTCTGCCCCTCCCTCTGCTCATGCTCTCTCTCTCTAATAAATAAATAAATAAAATCTTAAAATAATAATAAAAAAAATCTTTCCAAACCAAGGTCCTAGTTTTTCTTTTTACAATTTCCAAAACAAAGCTCATGTACCACCTTATCATCTTCTGGCTTCTTCTGCATTTTTCCCATCTTAGCAAATGGTGCCACCAACCATCCAGATGCAACCAACACACGAAATACAGGGGCCATAAGGGGTCCGTCCTTACCCCCAAGCCCAACAGTGAATCCATTTTCATTTCAAACTCCTGTCAATTCCAACTCCAAGCCCACATACTTCTCTGTCACCCTTCTATCACTCTTCTGTCAAACTCCATAGTCTTGCACCCAGGTAATTCTTCACAAGTGGAATGAGTTTCAAGAAATATATATTGACTTACGGGTCAATAAGAAAAAGTGAAAAATCTAATAGGAAAAGTGGCAAAAGAATATAAAATTTTCAGAAGAGAAAATACAAATGGCTCTTAAACACGTGAAAAGATTCTAATCTCTCCAGTAAGAGAAGTGTAAATGAGTATGACTCAGACATCATGGGCAAAGATCAAAGTTTGTGGGAGAAACCACCATCCTCATGCATTGCCTAAGGAACATGAACCGGCACAATTTCTTTTCTTTTCTTTTTTCCTTTCTTTTTAAGTTGCTTTATGCCCAACATGGGGTTTGAACTCATGATCCTGAGATCAAGAATAGAATGCTGTACCAGCTGAGCCAGCAAGGTGCCCCCAACTGGTTGCTTTTTATGACTAATTTGGTAATAACAAATATTCAAACAATTTTTATTTATTTAAATTTTATTTTATTTAAAATCAATTAATTAACATAGAGTATATTATTAGCTTCAGAGGTAGAGTTCAGTGATTCATCAGTTGTATAGAACACCCAGTGTTCATCACATCACGTGCCCTCCCCAATGCCCATCACCCAGCTACCACATCCCCCTTCCCACCTTCTCTCCAGCAACCTTCAGGTTGTTTCTTATGGTTGAGTCTCTTTTGGTTGATTTCCCTCTCTGATTTCATCTTGTGCTATTTTTCCCTCCCTTCCCCTATGGTCCTCTGAGCTGTTTTTTATATTGCACATATGAGCAAGATCATATGATATTTGTCTTTCTCTGATTGACTTATTTTGCTTAGCATAATACCCTCTAGTTCCATATACACCGTTGCAATCAGCCAAATTTTATTTTTTATTTTTCAAAGATTTTATTTATTTATTTGAGAGAGACAGAGAGAGAACACAAGCAGGAGGAGCAGCAGGAAGAGGGAGAGGGAGAAGCAGACTCTCTGCTTAGTAGGGAGCCTGATATGGGGCTCAATCCCAGGATGCTGGGATCATGACCTGAACTAAAGGCAGTTGCTTAACTAACTGAGCCACCCAGGCGCCCCAACCAAATTTTAAATGCACATAGCTTTCAACCCAGGAATTAGTTCTAGAAATTTAATCCTATGACATGTGCAATCCTAGCACATCTGCAGAAAGAAGTATCACTATTATTGCAGTATTTATACAAGCAAATATACTGGAAACAACTTAAAGGTCCACTAAAACTTGTTAAATAAATTATGGACCATCTATACAATGGATACCTTAATGGACAGACTCTAAAGCCCCCAATTATCTCTGCCTCCTGGTACTCATGCCAAGTGTAATCCCCTCCCTTCCCGTGTAGGTGGGAGATGTGACTTCCAACATACGGAATGGAGCAAAGGTGACCGGGTGTCACTTCCATGATTATATCACGTAAGGTAATGTACATCTGTCTTGCTACCTTGCTTACTTTGATGAGGCCTACTGCTAGGTTGTGCGTTACCTTCTGGAGAGTCATATGTGGCAGGGAACTGAGGGTAGCCTCCACCCAACAGTCAGCAAGAAACTGAGGGCATCAGTTCTGTAATCCACAAAGAACTGTATTCTGCCAACAACTGTGTGGGCATGAAAGTGCATCTGTTCCCAGTCAAACCTTGAGATGAGAACACAGCTCCAAGTGACACCTTGACTGCAGCCTGTGAGAGACCCCGAAGCAGAGGACCCAGTAGGCTGCACCTGGACTGTCGACCTACAGATTTTGAGATGAGGAAGGTGCTGTTTTCAGGCACGAAGTTTGTTATGCTGCAGTAGATAACTGAAGAAGGTATTATGTGGCTCTGAGTATTATTTGTGTGTATATAAACACTTGTTTGGGCATTGAGTTTGGCTGGCATCTCCAGAATGATACACAAAATGCTGAGAGCAATGGTTGCCCTCTTGGTAGGGGAACTAGGTGGCTGCGGACCCTCTGAATTTTGCTCCATGTTCATGAAAATGAAATTCGGGAATTTTAAACCCTTTCATTCCCACTGTAGTCAAAATAAACTTTAATTCCTTACAATGGCTTAAAAAGACCCTACAGGACTTGGGCTTTGCCTACTTCTCTAACTTGGACCCATGCCACTCTTCCTGGCTTTCATGACTGTCCAGCCACAAGAATATAAATTCCTTGAAACCAGGAATATGTCTCTCTCTTAGCTTTTGATCCCTAGCACCTAGCATAGTATAAAACATTCAGTAGGAATTCAGGGAATTAAAAAAAAAAAGATTTTATTTATTATTTATTTGACAGAGAGAGACACAGCAAGAGAGGGAACACAACTAGGGCGAGTGGGAGAGGGAGAAGCAGGCTTCCCGCTGAGCAGGGTCCCGACGTGGGGCTCCATCCCAGGACACTGGGATCATGACTTGAGCCAAAGGCAGACGCTTGATAATGACTGAGCCATCCGGACGCCCCACAATGAATTCTTTTCTTTGAAGGAATAATGAATGAATTTGATTCCCAAAGTTTTAGGAAAGGTAAAAGAGGGAATGCCTCGCAGAATACCTGGCACTCAACAGAAGGGGACACAATTATGGGATTTTTCCTTTTGTGAATCACCGAAGGGCTATCATAAATGGGAGTAAACCTCACTATGTATTGCTCCAGAGACTAACTGGTTAAAGTCAGAGGAAGGAAAACATGAATCCAGCACTAACTGCCCTAAGAAGCATGGGAGAGGCTGTTTTATGAAGGGGTGAACACCTCCACACTGCCTATTTATTCTGTCAGGAAAACTGTAAAAAATGAATGTGGCCCGAGTGAACTTCTGAGAACCTTTCTAGGATTCTAAAGTTATGTGATTCTGGACATAGGAGTATCTTGGGTCCTGTCCCTTTTGTAGTTGTTTTATATATACAAGCATATTGTTTTTCTTTCTGACTCCAGAGACCAAAACAAAAAACTGGTACATTTATTGACCTTTCTATACAATAAGGATGCTGAATATGGGACTTCATTGTGAGATACTAATGGCTGTATTGATTCAAGTTTTTGAGGTCTATAAATTTGTTCTAATCTCAGACTATGCCATTAGCATAGTAGCCTGCTTTTTTGGTGCACAAGAAAGGGGATAGAGAGGTCAAAAGATTTGCTTTTTACCACAATCGTGCTGGAAATATAATTCCATCAAACTACTCAAGACTAACATCTTTTTCAAAGGCCATATTTTATTGGAATGCTTTTCTGTCCCATTAACTGCAAACAGCCATATGGGGTATATATCTATGTAGGGGGCATCTCCCTGACACTGAAGGGCTTCCTTCTCAAGGAGCAGCTTTCAGGCGGAAGACATTAACAAGGAAACTTCCCAGTTTCAGGCTGGGAAGGCAGCGTATCTCTCCTTTGCTCCCTTCCAGTTCTGGCTCTACCCCTCTGCTTAGGGAAAAGACACTGTGACCAAGAATACCAAGTCCCTCCCACCTTTCTTTTCTTTTATCTTGTTAAATGTTGGCACACTACATATAAAGAGCAGGTAAAAAATGAGTTATTTATATATCTTATTTAAATTTTGATAGTAACCTTAGCTTGTTCTTGACATTGCTTAATTCTAGATTTCAGAACATTTTGAAGCAGCACTTTGGTTTATTTAGCAACTGCTGAAACCTAGGAATTTGTTCTTGAAAATCAGCCACATCTCACAAAATCTAAATACGTGAACATAATGTATCATACTTGGGACTCATGGGCTGTAGGCAGAAGTCTGGGTTCTAGTCTATGTTGGCACCAACAACCTACTGTTGTCTCTGGAGCCATTTCCCTCCTGACCTGATAATGTAAGAGGGAATGTATTTAAAGGGAATGTATTTGGACTTTGAACTTTTTGGTCAAACAAAAATTTATGTGAAGCCTAATATATGAAATAGATCAAAGCATATTTGCTTTGGTAGAAGATGGGACAGGGCCCAGAGCTTCTCAGGCAACTCTCAAGAACATCCCAGGCTCTGCAGAACATTCTGGAAATCTCTGCACCAGATAAGCTCCTCCAGTTCTGACTTCACAGAACCACCTACAAAGTACAGTTAAATTTGGCCTTGTGGAGATGTGTCCAAATGTAACTTCTAGTTGGTTTTTGTTGTTGTTGTTGTTGTTTTTGTTTTTGGCTTGCACACCAACTGGCCAAGATGTGAACTATACTGAGTCTCTTAATGTTAGTATTAGTAAATACTTGGATTTTAATCATGGCCTGTGTTGTGTGCTTCATTCATTCAACTGTGTCAAAAATGGGCTATTAGGGCAAGTGTGATTTCTGCTTTCAAACTTCCAATGGCTCCAGGGGAACAGGTAAACAGGTTAATGGTAGAAGGAGACTTCCCAGCATGGGAGCGCCCATGGTGAGGGTACTCAATTCCGGGGGTTGGGGGAGAGATCAATTCTGGGGGGTGGGGGAGAGACAGGAGAGGAAAGTATTCATAAAAATAACAGGTGATATTTATTGAACATTCCTGTGTCAGGCAGGGTTCTGATTTTTTGGGTGATCATTTTAGAGACAAGGACATAGAGGCAAAGGATGGCTAAATAACTTGGCTACAGACAGAAAATGATGGAGGCAGGGTTTTCAGTCAGGCTATATGACTCCAGGGCTCCTACTCTTAATCACTACACTGTACTACCAGTCTATTAATAGATATGGTAGTGGTTATGTTTGATCTTGAAGAAGTGTGTACAATCAGATGACAGGGTAGAAAAGTCAGCTGAGAGAGAGCGAGCACACAGAAGGAGAATGAGTGAAAGAAAGCAGAGGTACAAAACAGCATGGCACTCTGGCAATTTTCAGTTGTTAGGATAGTTGGAGCCCAAAGTGTGAGGGGGACTGTGGGCCTATGCTTCTCTCTCCCTTTGGCAAATGCCCTATTTTTATCTCTGCAATGAGACTCAAAGGAAGTCTCAGAGTTGAGTGAATTTAAGGGAGAGTATATAGCTGGATTAGCATCCCAGGCTGCCATTGGTCTTGGACTCTGAGCTTCTTAGGGGATAATGGGTAAATAAAGTGGGTGAAAGGTCCTGGTGATGGCTAGATAAACAGCTGAATTTGAACCTGCAGCAGGTATTAGGCAGACTGGGGTCCTGGATAAAAAGTGTGTATGAAGTCCTCTAGTGGAAGGCCAGGCTGCAAAGACTACTTAAGTTTGTTCACATGAGGAAAGTTTAAGAAGTGGCAGCCTTATCAAAACCACAGAGGTTGCTGTTAGAATGAACAAACTGGACAAGATGTCCTTAAATCAGTATAAGTGTAGATGCAGTTTATAGCCTCTGCTGACAGGCCAAACCAGTTCATTAAATATTCCCCCCAGCTTTCTGAGTACTGTCATTGTATAATTCCAACAACAACAACAACCAAAACTCCTGAAACAAGGTGTATAGAATGGGGACAGTACATCATCTGCTTGCACGCATGCCAACAGCAAAGTGTAGGAGCTGGTAATGATCCCACACCTTTTTTGTTCAGAAATACAAAATGGCATTTTATTTACACTTCCCTTAGCACATGATTCTAATTACACTTTATAGCCTGACCTGGTCCTCACAGGGTACAAATAATCATGCCGTTGGTCAACTCCTTGCATGCCTTGAGCGAGCATAGCAGTCCGATGATCTCAGACAATTTTACAGGGCAAGGCAAGATTCATTTCAAAGTGTTTCATTGCTTTTGGAGGACAAATGGCTTTCACCATGGTGACAATCAGGTTGCTAGGCTGGGCAAGGCCAAGTTTAGGAGAATGGTCCTCCAAACAGAGCAACTGAAATGAATGGTTCATGCCACCAGCAACTTTCTTCAAGTTCTGATTAATTTCCCATGAAATAACTGTTTGGAATACATCCAACCAGTTCTTTTATTCATTGTTTCTTTGTCTTGCCGACAGGAGGGTCAGTCAATACTGAAACATACAGTTTGAACCAAGCATATGTGATGCCCACTGCACAATACACTGAGGTCAGTAACAAAGGGATAAAGGGGTACTTCAGCTTCCAGGAGGTGAAAGGGAATACGAACTCACAGAAGACTTCCAGAGGCCCCAGGCCGAGGAGGTAGAAAGTTTCCATCCAATTAAAAAGAGGCCTTTCTTTTCTGAAGAGAAAAGGAGAGAAAGGCCTGAGTTTAAATGTGTCACTCTGGTGTAGCAAACATTTCTCAGTTAAAGCTTCCCACTTGCACTGTCCTGATGTGCAGAATAGTCAAAGCCAGAGTCCAAAGAATGCATTAAATTTCACATTTAGAAAAAACTGATAATGATATTGCACTGCATTATCTCAACAGTCCAAATGCAGCCAATCACCAGCCACCTACGCCATCACCTGGCGGAAGTGGCTGAGGGAATCAGCTGTGCACCTGGAAGAGGAAAGGCAGCTGCTGGGATACTGGAGTCAGAATATGGTCAACAGTATAAATGGATGGTTTGTAAAATGTTTTTGTTTTGATACAATCACATACAATTTGCTATTTAACCATTTTTAAGTATATACTTCAGTACCATTAAGTAGATTGACAATGGTGCTACCGTAACCACTAGCCACTTTCAAAATATTGTCACCCCAACAGAACTTCTGGAAACATTAAGCAATAATCACTGTCCGTTCCTCCTCCCCGACTCCTACTCTGTAGCCTCTAATTTACTTTTTTTCTCTGGGAATTTGCCTATTCTAGATAGTTCATACAATCTCTGTCTGCTCCTGTGGATAATGCTGCAATGAACATTGGTATACAAAGATCTGTGTCCCTATTTCCAGTTCTTTTGGGTATGTACCTAAGAGTCCAGTTGCTGGGTCATATGGTCATAACTGGGTTTTAATGTAATTAAGTATATGAGGTTCATGGACACAATCAGATATGAATCATAGGGAAGCTTTAAAAAATTATACAGGGGCGCCTGGGAGGCTCAGTTGGTTAAGCCTTGGTTTTAGCTCAGGTTATGATCTCAGGGTTGTGAGATTGAGCCCATGTCAGGCTCTGCACTCAGCAGGGAGTCTGCTTGAGATTCTCTCCCTCTCCTTCTGCCCCTCTCCCTGCTCGTGAACGCTCTCTTTCAAATAATAAATTAAATCTTAAAAAAATATATATATATACACCGGGCTCACCCATTCCCCAACCCCCCTCCCAAAGGAAGGCACGGATTGCATGGAGCACTTGGTGTCATAAGCAAACAATGACTCATGGAACACTACACCAAAAACTAATGATGTACTATATGGTGACTAACATAACATAATAAAAAAAAATATACAGATAATGTTATGTTAAGGTTTTTTTTAAATTTTTTTTTTAAGATTTTATTTATTTATTTGACAGACAGAGATCACAAGTAGGCAGAGAGGCAGGCATAGAGAGAGAGAGAGGGGGAAGCAGGCTCCCCGCTGAGCAGAGAGCCCGATGCGGGGCTCGATCCCAGGACCCTGAGATCATGACCTGAGCCGAAGGCAGAGGCTTTAACCCACTGAGCCACCCAGGCGCCCCTGTTATATTAAGTTTAAAAGAAAAGAATTCTACCCATAATTCTCTAACAAGAATTTTTACATGTATTTTAGCTTTATGCATCTATATTTATGTGGTTTTACTCATAATGCGTATTTTACATTCCAATTTTTAGTTTTCCTATAAGGTTTTAATTTCAGCTCGGTAGTCCCTCCTGAAATATACCTTAAAATAAAGACACGAACTATGTTGTCATGTCAGAGTGATAGGATTATGGGTAATTTCTCCCTAAAAAAAAAAATTGACCAATTTTTTGTAATGCTGTTCTATTATTTTTACAACTTAACAAATATTTTTAAAAGGCTTAGCTGACCATTTAAGAGGAAATCTTTCACAAGAGCAAACATAATTTTAAATGTACTTTTTTGGATTACCTGAATAGAGTCTTCAGCGAGGAAATACTATAGATGGTAAATAGTAACATGAGTAAGATTTTAATGGGAAGTTCTGTTAAAAGAATAAAGAAAAAATACAGATGATAATTCAGTTGAGAAGAAAATGATTTGTGATACATAAGGCAATATAATAAGCACACTGACACAGCTATATAGTGCTAGCTAAGGTTTTTGAGTTTAATTGTGCATTTTTGTGATATCTAAAGATACTGAGGATTAGGGACAAATTCGAGGTTTTATTTAAGACAGTGGATGAGCTCACTCCTTCCAAGAGATTTTAAAGTTGTTTAACTCAGATAGTATTGATCTTCAGGCCCTGATGAAAAGGGCATGGCAATCAAATCTCTAAATCTCTCTCTCTCTAAAAAAGAAAAAAAAAAAAAAAGCTATTTACCTGGTGCAGTGAAGAGCAGAGGGAAGAGGGAATAATGTCCTGTTGTGCTCAGAATCAGAAAAATTGAAGCATCTCCTGCTTTTCCCACAGACAGAAGGCTAAAAATAAAAATTCTTACAATAATTCCTTAAAACAACTGAAACTTGGGCACTTACAGATAACCTGAATAAACTAAGAACAAGTTGCATCTATCATTATTTCTAGAACTGACTTAAGCATAAGATAACACACTGATCTTTGCTACAGGTTCAATTCAATTGAGAATACTAATGTAGTGGGAAAATTTATGAAGAATGTACCACAGTGAACTGGGGCGTATTCATAAAGAGTCTTGCTTCCCTGAGTAATTGCCTTCTCCAGAGAAAGTGATGTTGTGGGATTGGGAGCTGCCTTGTGGTGGTAGCCAGGGAAAGAGGACTGAGGAGTTTCTAACCCTATAGCTCTTCTATGGGGTGGTGCCCTGTGCCTGATGGTGCTTAGTATGAATTCTAACCAAAGATATTAGCAGTTTTGCCCTATTTCTTAATTTGGAAACTCCACGTTGGTGAATGAATCCAGACAAGCCATGTACTGATGTGACAAATTTGCTTAAGGTTCCTTCAGAGCTTAACTGATTTCTTACAGGATTTGAGAGAAATCTCAAGAAAAAAAGGATAATTATATTACCATCTATCAGGTTGTAGTTTTATACAAAATGGACACTATTGCATTGAAATTTTTTTTTAAAGCATGGTACATTGAAAAGATCATAGGAATCGGCATTATAACATCAGGTTTAAGTCCTAACTGTGCTACTTGCTAGCTATGTGGCTTTAGGTAAGTCACTTAAACTCTCTGGGCTCCAGTTTCTGTAGATGTTAAGACAGAATGATATCCACTTACCCTAATTACCTTACAGGTTGTTGTGAGGCTCAAAAGAAAAAAATACAAAAAAGCCCCCACAAAATACCCCCCTTCAAAAAGCACCCCAAGAAAAGTTCTGCAAAATGCGAAGTGCTATACAAACGTTAGATTTCATTCCATAATAGCCTCGATACTGACTTTGACTAACAACACTTAGCAAGAAACTGTGGAACCTTATTTTCACAGATGTGATGACACCAAAGCCCACGTTTTTCTATACTATGCTGCCATTCAATATCCAGATCTAACAGCCCAGTATCCTGGTTCTTAATCACTATAGTACCTCTTAACAAAAAAATGCAGAAATGGTACATGCAATTTCACAGGTCCAGGGATCCCAAGTTAAGCATCCCTGTCCTGTCCTAGTATAAATCTGTTCCTGTACATCTTTGCCTTTGCCTATCCCACAGGACATGCCAAGAAGGGACAGATCAAACAGAAAACAATAGGGTCACTGGGAAATCTGCCAGAAATGCCAGCTGACTGAATTATCTGCTTACCTCATTGGGAGAACTGCGAGGAGTATGGCTTTTTCGTGGACGTGCCACCCAAAGAGGAAGGAGCTTAAGGCACAAAGAATTAGACATCGGAGAAAGCCTCTAGGCCCTTGAGGTTTAAACCAAAGACAGAAAACAGAGGGCTAGAAACAACAGGCAAAGATAAAACTTCAATATCATTCAAAATAGGCTTTACAAAAAGTCTTCAGACGAATACAATTTATATCATCTCTGAAAATTCATTACTTTGTGAACACTACAACAAAAGTTATAAAAAAAAAAACTACTCAGAAACAAAGGCTTTTGGAAATACATATTTAAGTCATTAAAGTAATTCTGTTCATCAGAATTAGTAAATAAAATTAAGTTCTAGGATATCCAGTAACCCCCTTATTACATCTTCAGAATTAGTTAATTAGTAGCCACTGAACCTATTAGGTCAAACTACAAAAGTTCATAAACATTTTGGGGCTAATAATAAATTAGATTTTGCCATACTAATAAAGACATACCTACTTCTGTGGGCTAGAGTGTAATTTATAACAAAACTATGGGGGCAGCTGGGTGGCTCAGTCGGTTAAGTGTCTGCATTCAGCTCAAGTCATGATCACAGGGTCCTGGGATAGAGCCTTGCACTGAGCTCCTTGCTTGGCAGGAAGCCTGCTTCTCCCTTTCCCTCTGCTTGCCACTCCCCATCCTTGTGCGAGTGTTCTCCCATTCTCTCTTTCTCTCTCTGTCAAATGGGTACATAAAATCTTTAAAAAAAAAAAAAAACAAGAAAACTATGGCCTTCCACATGTAGCTTATGAGGCTGAGGTTTTAAAAAAAGCTTTTACCTTAGAACATAGGAACAAGCAGGCCAGCAAAGCTTAATTACTAACCAGTACTGCCATTTAATTAACTGGGGTCAGGTGTCTTGCTGGGTTTGATCATTTAGAAACCAAAATTAAAGCTGAGTGTAATTATAGGTAGGATTGAGTTATTTATATTGAATGCCACCAAAATTATATCATGAAATTGAGAGCATTGTGATCGCTAAGCTATCATGAAAACATCTATGAAGGAAGACTCTAACAGCATCTGGCTCACGTTAGATTCAATGTCTGACACTCAAACAGCTATTGTTGACTCTCTTAACTCACGGTTATCATCAAGACAAAAATATCCCTGCAGTCCAGCCAACTTCCAATTTTTGACTAGTCACAATGAAAACAACACCAGAAACCCAAGGTCCCCACTACACACATTTCCCTCTTTATCCACAGTGCAGTCCTCGCCCCCTTCTCCCTGGGCTTTTCTTTTTTCCTCATCTGAGGGTGGACAGATGACCTGACAGCCATAGTGAGGGATCTTTCTCACAGAGGTTTTACTGGTAATCTTTCCTTAAGGTGTTCTGTTACTCTAAGAATAGAAATGAAATGCCTCAATCTGAAAAAGCATCACAGCCACGGTATCTGTCCTACAGCTGGAAAAACTTGGAAGCTGAAATTAACCAGCCACACAAAAGAAAAGCACAGAAAACTCAAGAAATGAGTATGTGGGTGAATTCTTACCAGTATAGCCATCAGAGTGCAGATGAGGGTGGCCAAGGGAGTCACTGAAGGAAGGACTGTGTGTTGGAATTGCTGAACCAAACCACTTGTCATTGAGGCCTTCGGAATTTTGTTGGAATCAAGAAGTTTCAATTTCAAACCTACGGAATATGTAGATACTTTATTTTTATTGATAGTGTACAATATTTCACCACTGAACTCCTTGAAAAAAAGCTACTAAATCTTATTGCTACTTCAAGGTCAAGATATTTTAATTCAATTCTGTACTATTCTACCTAAAATGGCTCTGGTTTTGCAATGACACAATGCAAAGCAGCTGTGTGTATTAGAATAGGGAATTCGTGCAGCTTAGAAGGAACTTTGCTGGCAGGCAGCATGACTAGCAATCTGCTCTCACCTCTAAAATGAGCAGGCTTTTAAAATGCAGGTCTGACCATGTCACACGCCAGCTTGGAATCCTTCAAAATCCATATTCCCAAGCATGGCAGAGAATGTCTTCCATGACCTAGCTCCTTCCTACCTCTCCAGCTTCATCTCCGCTTCATTAAATGTGTCGTGGCCACAACCAACTGACATAGGATTCTCCACACTTGTCCCTTTTGCTTAGAATGGCCTACTCAATTAGCAAAGTTAACTCCTAATTCACTCCCTCATCTGAGAAAGCTTTTAAATAAAAAAGTAGAGCTGATTTTCCTGTGGCTAGAGATACACATGTGGACCTTCTACACATCTCTAAATGGTGTTGACTCCACTGCACTGTATCTGGTTATGTGCTCATTTCCTCCACTATTGGGTTTCATAAAGGCAGAAATGATGATTAATCTATTTCTATCCCCAGTACACAGGGGCTCAAGGAATACTTGTTAAATGAAATAAGTCTGAGGATGATGATGCAAACCCCATCCCAAACAAGCTAATAGGACAGACAGTCTGAGCACCTGCATGGCCCTGTCTAATACCACTGAAAATCACTGAAACGTGGAAATGTGTAGACTACCAAAATATTTTGTATTCATTAATGTCTTTCCTTTTCCCTTCAGTCTGATGATTCTCCTTAAAGCTAGTAACTATCTCGCTGCCACTGACTTTCCAGGTTAAGACATCTTTGAGGAAACAGATAAAAAAGATAACGTACAGCATAGTTTCCTGACTCAGACAAGGAAAGTGACCCTTGAATCTCATACTGCGCTGGTTGTTTAAGGTTTCTGAAATATAAATGTTAAGAAATTCTTGTAAGGATCCATGTACATCAAGGCTGGATTCACAGTGGGTGAGGGATAATCCCATATTATGATTTCCCACAAGTATGTACCAAAAACAGTAATGGCAGCTATTGTGTGCAGAGTTTTGCAGCCATTATTTTCAGGCCCCTGAGGCACAGAGAGATGTGTAACTTGTCCCAAGTCACACAAGTGATAAGTTGTAGAATTAAACCCAGGTCTGTCTGGCTCCAAAGCCCCCTACTATGAACAACGTAGCATTTCCTTATTATTGTGTTTCTTACAACATGGTGCATGTGGACAGTCACTTCTATTATCCCATTGGCTTGAACAATGCCACACAGCCAGTAATTTATACCGGTGGGCTTCCAAAAAACTCACCAGACTAGAGGAGGCGTTGACAAAGTCTAGCCTAAGGGTCAAATCTCCAGCGTGTGACTTACTTTTGCACCAGCCCCGAAGCTTTGAAGTTTTTATATTTTCCAAGGTTGTAAAACAAAAACACTTTATGTGGTCTGCAAAGCCTAAACTATTTACTATCTGGCTCATTAGAGACAAAGTTTGCTGACCTTTCTCTTGATCGTACCATTTCCCTATATAGCTAGGCTATATTCACAAACTACTGTGGATTATTCCAGAATGAATTATTTTCAGCAGAACCATCTCAAGATTAAATCGTTTGTTTGGTTTTTATCACAATCCAAACTTAAAAGGCTAGCTTAGTTTTCTCATTTCTTCTCATCTCGGCATGGCTATCATTTTCCTTACTGGTTTAATACCCAGAGTCACATTCTTCTTTCCTTCTGCACATGTTAAGTTTAAAAGTGGGATTAACTGCTGAATAATGTCTTACTTAAGGCAAAAATTACCTTTAAAAAATGTCTACTTAAAAATGTCTTTATTTTTTTCCCAAGGAAAGGATCAACAAGGTCATGGCCACAACAGCTTTTGTAAGGAGCATAGTCTGTCTACTTCCCTAAAGCCTTAGTCCTTAAGCTGCTCCCCTGTTCATTCTGAAACCTGGAACACACAGCTACAGAACAAACACTTCAGCCATATTCCAAACACAAAGCAGTGTTTTCCATTTCTCAGTGTGACTTGTCCTTTCCAAATTCATTGTCTATGTAATAAGGCTTGCTACTATACCGATGACGGAGAGCACTTTGTCCAAAGCATTGTACAAAGCCCAGAAGTTTGGAGCCCAATATGCATGGCAGAGGCCCCTCTTGAAAGGGAAGAGTCGGGACAAGACTTGAGGCAGCTGGTTCTGTAGAAAAAAGATTCAACAGTGACCAATCTTCTCTGACTCAAAAAGAGAACTAGGGAGCTATGTGACATGGTGAGTGGAAAGTTATGTCTGAGTTCCAGTCTTTGTTCCTTCAAGTAGTTATGTGATCCTGAGCAGTTGTCAGAACTTCCTCTTATCTAACCTCATCTGTTGATGGGGGACAAGACAATTCTGAATACCAATCCACTGCTGTTATGAGAGAAGCATCATAAGGGAAGAATTTATGAGGTGCAGAAGAGGACAGTGTGCAACTTATCCAAGTCTACTGACAAGAGGGTGACCCCAAGGAAGATTTTAGAAAGGATGCGATGTTTTTCAGTTTTATCAGGAATTAAAATTAATTAGTAGAATTCAGGGTATGGGAAGAAGGGAGCAATTTTAAAAAATATCTGTTGAACATATGTAATATTCTAGGCACTTTGAATGTTTGCTGTCAGGGAATGTAAAAACACCACGAGTACTGATTTGGGGGTTACAAATAAATTACAGCAAGTAGGGAAATGAGCAAATGCGGAAATCTGTGAATGATGATTATCGATTCTGAGTGTGTGTGTCTATGTGGAAGACATACTTCAACATATAAAAATATACATGCATATCTGATTATGAACAAAGAATACCATTCTATCTTTGGGGAGTCATAGCGGAGAAGAGTAAGAAAAAAGTAGTTTTGTTTATTTTATACATTCTTGGCTTTATTATTTTTTTCTAAACAACAAAGCAGCAACAACAAAACACATACTACTCTATTAAAAAAAAAAAAAAAAAAGACTTACCAAGGCTAGGAAAGGACCCAATGAAAGAGCGGAAACTAGGAAAACAACCAGTCCCAGGGAAATAAGACGGACAAAGCTGAAACTGTTCCACCGGACAGACCCATCTACAGAAAAGCAACATTAACCATTACTAGGAGCATGGACCACCATAACTTAATAATGTGCTAAAACTAGGAGTATCCCCTGATAGTATACCAATCTTTACGAAGTGGAAGAGCACAGAAAAGTCAGAATGGGTAAAGGGTTTGTAGGATCAGTTAATTGAGAGGTATCTCAGGCATGCCTGGGTGGCTCAGTTGGTTAAGTGTCTGCCTCCGGCTCAGGTGGTGATTCTGGGGTCCTGGGATCCAGCCTGGCATTGGGCTCCCTGCTCAGTGGGGAGTCTGCCTCTCCCTCTCCCTCTGACACTCTCCCTACTTGTGCTCTCCTACTCTGTTAAATAAATAAATAAATCTTAAAAAAAAAAAAAAACTACAACAGTCACGAGGTATCTGTTGTGCCTCATAAAACCCTCTCATGAAGCAAATTACCAAGCTAATAAAAAAATAAAATAAAGGTTTTGCTATCATCACTGAAACTTGCCTGGTTTATTTGCAGTGAAACAGTAAGACCGTAGCAGGTATACACCATAAGCTGGTGCTACGTAGAGGTAGATGTGCTTGAAGTGTAGAAGAACAGCAAAGAGAAATGCTCCTTCCATATGCCTTTTCTAGGAGATTTAAAAGGGAAATATCACTTTAAAATTCAGGGTAAACTAAATGTAGTAATATAGTATCCTGGTTGGATCCTGAAACAGAAAAAGAACATTAGTAGAAAAACTGGTGAAATCTGAATGTACCAAATGTTGGATTTTTAGCCTTTTATTTTAAAGTTTTAATTTTAATTCCAGTTAACATGCAGTGTTATATTAGTTTCAGGTGTACAATATAGTTAAGTGTCTGCCTTCTGCTCAGGTCATGATCCCAGAGTCCTGGGATTGAGCCCTGCTTCAGGTACCCTGCTTAGTGGGAAGCCCGCTTCTCCCTCTCCCACTCCCCCTGCTTGTGTTCCCTCTCTGCTGTCTCTCTGTCTCTGGCCAATAAATAAAATCTTAAAAAAACCCACAAAACAACAGAAAAACCCAACAACCATAAGAGACTCTTAATCATAGGATACAAACTGAGGATGACTGGAGGGGAGGGTGTTGGAAGGATGGGTTAACTGGGTGATGGACATTAAGGAGGGCACGTGATGTAATGAGCACTGGGTATCATACAAGACTGATGAACCATAGGCCTGTACCTCTGAAACCAACAATATATTGTATGTTAATTGACTGAATTTAAATTTAAAAAATGTTTAAAATTAAAAAAATGTGTAAGTCACAGTAATAAAAGATAGAGAATATTCTCTAAAATATCGAGAATATAGCCAGTGGTGTTGTAATAATGTATGGTGACAGATGGGAGCTTCGGTGATATTCTTGTGGTAAGAATTCCCTAAGGTACAGAGTTGCTGAATCACTATGCTGTATACCTGAAACTAATGTAACACTGTCAACTATGTCTCAATAAAAATATAATAATTTAGGGGCGCCTGGGTGGCTCAGTGGTTAAAGCCTCTGCCTTTGGCTCAGGTCATGATCCCAGGGTCCCCTGGGATTGAGCCCCGCATCGGGCTCTCTGCTCAGCAGCCTGCATACCTTCCTCTCTCTCTGCCTGCCTCTCCGCCTACTTGTGATCTGTCTGTCAAATAAATAAAAAAAAATCTTTAATTTAAAGATCCATTAAAAATATAAGATATAACAACAAAAATTACACATTTTAAAATATATATTCTGAACTACCTAGTGAACAAAATACTGCGTCTGGGATGTGTTTCAAAATAATCCTGTGTATGTGTATGTGTGCAGATCACCCTACTATTTTCCCTACTTTTGTGTATGATTTAAATTTGCTATAATAAAAAGTTTTTAAAATTCAGGCAAATATTCTACATGCAATATAAGGTGAAAACAGGCAAGTGATCCCAGTTAGTTTTTATACTGAGCCAGTTCGTTACTGCAACAAGTATTCATTCAATACTAAGCTTGATGCTGCGGTACAGGACACATCATGACAACACATTACCAATTCCCCTTATCTAAAGCCCTGAGAATTCAGTGCCCCCCTTATAGTTTTACAACAGATGGACTTGATTTCCAGAGAGAAGGTGGGAAGGAGAGTACGAAAGAAAACATATGATGTTATGTTACCAAAGAAGCATTTCAATCTGCTGTTACAGATCAGGTGATGTATAGAACTGTCAGGCTGAAGATATCAAGTACAGTACTTGACCCTAACAAACTAAAGGTAGTTGATTTAAAACAAATAAACAAAAAAATCCCAGGTTGACTATAACTAAATAAATCTGCTTTCTACCTACCTCACAGGAATCTGGGGATCAAATGAGATAATGTTCCTGTGGTTCAGCAAGGAGACTGCAAAAGGGACCATGAAAGACCAGGTTCCTTCTCTCACTCTCTCATTGGGTGTGGGCTTGAACAGATGAGTGAGGAATGATAAGGAAAGAGAATGGAGGGCTTTCGGATCTCTCATCACCCATTTTATCAGTTATGTAAGATTCAGAGAAGGTCTAGCTGGTTCTATAGCTAAACTTTATTTGCTCAACAATCACTGAATGCCAATGATGTTTTCTACGTACTGTGTAGCTTTTTATGGTTAAAAGAAAAAATGTATCCAGACATTAATAGTTGACAAAGAACTTTAAAACAGATTATCAAATTTGATCTTTCCAAAGTCCCCACGAGGTAGGAAGCCCCATTTTAAGTAGGCTCTGCATCTAGTGTGGAGCCCAATGTGGGGCTTGAATGCAACCCTGCGATCAAGACCTGAGTTGAGATCAAGAGTCAGATGCTCAACCAACTGAGCCACCCAGGTGCCCCAGTAGGGAGCCCGGTTTTACAAATAATATAATAAGGGGGTACGTTTCATTTTATGGATGCAACAACTGAGGCTGAGGGGGTTAAATGACTTGCTTTGGGTTAATGGTTCCCAAACCTGACTGTGAATCAAAATTCTCTATTGAGTCCGAAACCCTGATGGCTAAGGATTCTGATTCAGAGTATGGAGGGGTAGACCAGAAATCCAAACTTCTGATTTCTTCCTCTACAAAGGGGAGGGTAATAATTATAATAACTTCACAGAATAGCTGTGAGGTTTACTCAATAAGATATATATAATGTACCTAACCGAAAGCGGCCAAAGCATTTGTGTGAGCCCTGTCTGAGTCATACAGTTTATTAGGGTCAGTCAGGATTTCAACTCAAGTCTTCTGATTCCAAATCCCATACTTTCTGTTACACGATGCTAGCCTACATCTAATGGTGAAAGCCCACCATCAGTGATCATATTGTAAAAACTGAAGATTTCATTCCTAGATAAATGATTCCAACCAAACATAGTACCTCAAGTTTATTTCAGGACTGCCACCCTCTAACAAGTTTTTAGAGTCTACGTGTAAGAGGAAGAAAGTTATCAAGAGAGGAGATGGGATTTGCGAAACACTCAATGAAAGTGTCTACAGCTTGGTAACGACAAGTGTCTATAACGCTTGGCAATTCAAAACAACTGGTCAAATAAGTCTGTCCATCACCCATTACACTGTTAACCTTATAAGCTCAAAGTCAGCCCTAAGGAGCAAAAATCTCATCAGCCTATTTTGCCTTTACCTGAAATAATCGTGCAACGGAGAGTAGCATTAATCCAAATAAAAAACCATTGTACTGGAAATGAATATCTGAGCTTAGGTTAAGGAAAGATAACCGAGGATACCAAATTCAAATTGAACTGGGTCAGCGGACTGAGTATAAAAATGCAAATGCTTTCCTAATGGGCAAACTAAAAACAAAAATATTCCTCCCAGTTTGGACTTCTCATAAATGTGTTTCTCATAAACAGAGTCAAATCACAGACAAACTCTAATAACATATATATAGTGTCAAAGATTATATAGGGCATAAAGAAATTTACATTTAAGAAGAAAACCAGGAAACTTTCCAATGTTTTTTCTACCTTAAAGACCCAGCAGCGATGGGGGAAGTTTTTTGGTTTTGTTTTTTAGGATTAGGGATGAGAAAGTAAGGGCCTAAAAGCCACTGAAGGCTGCTAGCATGTGGCAGGCCCTTGGTTAGAGTACCTATACTCAATCTTACACAGTAAGCCTCCCAATGAGCCCGTGAGGAAGTTAGAGCTTGGAGCCATTAACGCACATATGGCCTAAAGCTACTGTGATGCCATAGCTAAGAAATGAGTCCAGGTCAGACTTGAACCAAAGTCTGGGTGTTTTCCTTACATGTGGCTACCTTTATGAAAATTATAAAACATCAGGCTTCTATCATTAAGATTTTAGTTTCATTCAAACCTTCTGGATTTAAGAACTTTGCCTGTTAATATGTGGTAAGCCAAAATGGCAGAAAAGCATGAAGGCCTGTCTGTTCCCATATGCAATGCTGAGGGAGGCCCTTTCCTAGAGAAGGTATTTGGAATAATGTGTTATAAAACTATTTAAGATAAACATATTAATCTAAAGACAGTCAACAAATCCCAGTATATTGCTTTACTTACTGGTGGTTTAACTGGTTCTTGAACATCATTAACTTTTCAGAGACAAAGTGCTCTAACAATCAGAATCTGGTAGAATTGCAGAACCCACAGAAACCATAGTTTGGGGAACCCAATGACCCATCCCACATCCATTTACAAAAGCAGCTCATATTTCAGAATCATCATTGTAGAAATAATTAATCTTATACTTAGTTATATCAGAATAAGTAAGGGAATAGCACAGAAAATGTCAAGGATACGGTCCACAATTAGCAACCCGAAGTTCCATAGCAGTAACACTGATAGGATAAACTTTGGCTTCTCTGTAAGTTCTTTACCTGCTTTTTTCCCATCAATGCATTTACAACACCTACATTGAAACAGCAGGAAGGAAGCAGAAACACCTTTCATCTTCATTAGAACATCACAATACTATTACAAAGTACACTATGATACACTCAGATACATTTTACTAGCTGTTCCTGATAAACTGTCCATGCTGTTCTTGACTGCTTAAAAAGGTGACAGCAGAAGCAAAGACCTCAGGGCCAATTCCATGTCTTTCTCAGCTATGCTGATTGGAAACAAAGTCTTCATTTAATAACAAGAAAAATTTAAAAACAGCCACTATAAACCCAAAAGGATTTTGAAAACTGAGAGGGCATACACTATTTCAGTCCTTGAGTAAAAAATTCAGACCATACCTAAGACTAATATAACAATGTAACATTGTGTGTCAACTGTACTAAAAAAAATGCAGACCAAGATGATCTAGCACTCTAAATATGTATATTTATATAATAAATATTAAATATTTATATTTATATTATATATATAGCAGTCAAAAATAGTGCTATTAACTTACAGCTCCTGATTGTCCAAATAATTTTAAAAACAATTTATTAAAAATGTGTATCACTTAAAGGACAAGATCTATTATTAAGTGACAATAGCAGATGACAAAAAATTATGATACTGTTTTTACTTTATAAAATTATATTCAGACACAGAAGAGAGGCTGAAATAATAGGCACCACAATGCTAACAGTGATAGCTGTAAGTGGAGAAGTATGGATCATTTTTGTTATGTATACGTGTACATTTGTTTTTCAAAACTGACACAGATATATAATCCTATACAAAGATTTTTTAAAATGTATTTTTCATTTGAATATTGGCAAATCCTAAAAACAGAATTCTAAGCCAAAAAAACAAAACAAAACAAAAAAAAACCCAGACAATAAAGTTGTAATTAAAGAGGGGTTAACAAAAGGTGACCTGCTTTTCCTCCATGGAGTCTGTTTCCTCATCAACAGAGACAGCAACCTTATAGGGTAAGTGAAAAAATTAAGTAAATTACTATCTATACTTGGTGCCTAGTTCTAGGAATTAGTACATAGATCTCAACAATTTATATCTTACTTAACGGCTCCCTCTACATTCCAGATGGAAATTAATTCTACTCCTCCTCTTTCTGCCTATATATACACTTTCCCTGGAAGCTTGAATTCAAAGGTTTTGAGTTTAAAGGACTACACCACAAATTGAATTCCCTTTCAATTCTTGCTAGGTGATAAACAGACTGAAAGTTAAGGTGTCAAACAGGAAATACTCCATGATAATGATCAGGGATTAAAACATTCCCAAGGGACTCTTTCCTGAATGGGCAAGGGTTCAGGGCTTCACAAAGAGAAATGATTCATTTGTGACAAGGTTCACTGAAGGGACACAGTGTGGTCAGCACAATGCATGTGTGTACACGAGTGTGTGTGTGCTACATGTATGTGTGTGTATCCTAAACAATAGGGTAGGTCACAGAAGCCTCTGGGGGCATTTGGAAAGGAAAGGAAAGCATACGGAACCATTCTAGGCAGGAGAAATGGTTATGGAACTCTACTTGGGACTACTTTTCACAATGTTCACAATCTCCTGTTCCGCCTCTGCCTTGTAACCCCACCTTATCTCACATTTCCTTCCACAAGACTCAGCTAGACTGTTTACTGTGATTACTCACTGCATAGTTTAAAACACAAATAGAGTTTGGGACTGTTCAAGCATTCGCTATTATATGAACTTCATTTCCCCCAAATGAGGAACCAGTTAATACTACTTAATACTATATCATGTTCTCAACACCTTTCATACAAAATGACATTCTCAGACTTACTCGTGGATGGCATACACAAAGAGTACATCTGTAAAGATGACAGAAAATCTCTGGAAAAGTAAGGTCCTTGAGCTGGAGTAATTCAGATTATGGACATTCAGCATCTCTTGATCAAAATACTTGGCAACATGTGACAGGGCATACTCAAACCATGCAAAAAAAGGCGGGTAATCCAAGGTCCACTCTGAAGTTGCCTGTGGTGAAAATCGAAGAGAGAACGTATCCTAAAACAACTGAATAAATGAAGTGTGTGTAAAGATTGAAAATCTCGTTCTCTAGTCTTTAAGAAAGATATGAAACGAAATCGCATTTAAAATATGACCTGCCTGGCTCAACTGGAAGAGTGTGTGACTCTTGATTTTGGGGTTGTGAGTTTGAGCTGCAAGTGTGATGCAGAGATTACTAAAAAAAAAAATAAACTTTAAAAAATGACCTAGGCGCCTGGGTGGCTCAGTGGGTTAAAGCCTCTGCCTTCAGCTCAGGTCATGGTCCCAGGATTCTGGGATCGAGCCCTACATCGGGCTCTCTGCTTGGTGGGAAGCCTGCTACCCTTCCTCTCTCTCTCTCTGCCTGCCTCTCTGCCTATTTGTGATCTCTGTCTGTCAAAAAAATAAATAAAATCTTAAAAAAAAAGACCTAAATTAATAGAATAATTCCTATGTAAGACTGAGCAGAAACCAAACCTGCTTCCTAAGTTTTTTTTTTTTTTAAAGATTTTATTTATCTATTTGACAAAGAGAGAAAGAGCACAAGCAGGCAGAGTGGCAGGGAGAGGGAGTGGGAGAAGCAAGTTCCCCACTGAGCAAGGAGCCCAACGCAGGACTTGATCCCAGATCCCTGAGATCATGCCCTGAGCAGAAGGCAGCCACTTAACCAACTGAGCCACCCAGGCGTCCCAGCTTCCTAAGTTATTTAATATGGTCTTCGATCTCCTTAAGTAGAATCAACTATATTTGAAAGGAAATTATGAAATTTGCAAGAATAAACTTGGTTGTGATCTGATGCTACTCATCTAAATATAAAAAGGGAGCTACAGCATAACAAATGATTCACTAGCTTGGGTTCAAGTTCTGTCTCAGACTTATTTTTCCTATTTGTAAAATAGGTATTACAAGGGCTAAGTGACATAATACATACGAAATACAGTTAAAAAGCAAAATGCAGGGGCGCCTGGGTGGCTCAGTGGGTTAAGCCGCTGCCTTCGGCTCAGGTCATGATCTCCGGGTCCTGGGATCGAGTCCTGCATCGGGCTCTCTGCTCAGCGGGGAGACTGCTTCCCTCTCTCTCTCTCTCTCTCTCTGCCTGCCTCTCTGTCTACTTGTGATCTCTCTCTGTCAAATAAATAAATAAAATCTTAAAAAAAAAAAAAGCAAAATGCAACACAAATGCTATTTATCTTTTGTTCTAGTAGGTTATGAGATACTGAGGTTAAGACAGCAAATGCCATTCTTTGCCATTTCTGTATTCTGAATATTTAGTAAGTGCCTGATATATTAAGTATTAAATAATCATTAGTTAAGTGGATGAGCAAACGAAAATGCACAGCATGTGAAATACAGAATACACGAAAATGAAGTATATAATTTCAGATACTATATTTTCTAGATTTCTTTTAAGTCTCGGTTTCTTTATCCGAACAACAGGGATGGTAGTATGTACCTCATGGGTTATAGCATTAAGTTTTACATACACGTATAAAATACTACTTATATAGCACTGAGCCAGATACAAGCTCAGTATCAATAAATATTATTTACTATCATTTTAAAAACTATTACTGTCACCATAGGATGTTCCTAAAACTAAACCTGGACCTTGCACCTCCAAGAGTTCAGACCGTAATCATCTCCTTACTCTGCACTTATTGCTCTTTTCAATGGGAAATTCCTCTCCTTCTGGAATTGCGCTGAATGTTTACCGGGCACTAACTGGGTACCCACAGAGACTACTGTTTAGAGTTGTTCTGTGGTATAAAGTGAGGTGAAAGAGACTCACCTCTGAGTTTTATTTATTTTAGTAGTTTATTTATTTCTTTAAATAAAGCTCTTTGTCTGTGGTAAGGATAAATGACAACTTTAGGTCCATATAAGAAGTAGCCTAACTACTCCCCCTGCAGGTATAAAAATGTAGAAGCCTCAGAAGAGGCAAACTCAGAGGCTCTCAGTCTAGGGCACTCAAGCTACGAACCTACCCATTAAGCTCTCACTCATGAGAGGTTCCTTCCTTAATCCCAAGTTTCTAATGTGGACTGTAAACGAGATGAGCTATTAAACTGTAAATAGAAAAATTAGAAAATTCTATCATTTAATCTCATTTTTTTTAGTGCCTATTTTTTACAGTGTATTAATAAAGCAGTACTTTTATAACTTATAAATAATCTCACATTGAATAGTAAATGCTCAAAAATGCTTTTTTGCTAGGATAAAGATACTTAAGAAACAAGTTTAGAAATTACTGTTCCAGGTAATTTTAAGAAGGTCCACATCAACTTGGATTTTATTAACATCAGCAGTGCCCAGCTATAGTTTCTATGTCAGAGTTCACTCTACATTTAAAGAGCCATTTACCCTATAGGAACAGTAAAAGGTTCATTCCTACTTTATCTTATTGACACGTTTATTACTTTAAATAAAATGAGGACCAGGAGGTGTTGAAAAAAATTGGGAAGGACACGTGCTGCCTGGGATATGGTCATTTTTTCCAAAACAAAGTATCCCTGTCCTTTCTTTACTATTCTCAATCCCACACCACTCAGAGGCTCTCTCTATATTGTCCCTATTTCCCACACAAAGACTTTCCAAATCTAGCCCGAAGGTTCTCTTGACCTCAAGGATTTCTATCTAGGGCCATTTTCTTAAATAACTTTTGGGAATTAAGTGAATCTATTAGTTATCATCTTCTCCCAAGTGAACAGTTCCATCACTTAACTAATACCTGGTGAAGGTGGAACTCAAATCTGGATCTCCTGACTCCAAATCCACGAGTTCAGTAAGCTACTACAACAGAGCTGTAGAGAACAAGATGGAGTCACTCATGTCAAGCACTGACTCATGCATAGCAGTGTGGTAAGCGGCCAAGGGCATTGCAACTAAGACCAGATAACATGAAGCCAGCACAGGCTGATGACAGCCAGAACTGATAACCAGCAGAACCAGAAGACGCCTGCAAAGACCCAAGACTGATAAGACTCCCTTAAAAAGGGAGGGCTTCTCTGACCTTCTCCTCGCTCATGCTCTCTCTCACTGTCTCTCTCTCCAATAAATAAATAAAAAATAAATAAATAAAATTAAAAAAAAATTAAAAGGGAGGGCTTTTGCAGCAAATTGTCACTCTCCAGACATTGAATGCGGTGAAAAAAGGTCAGTGTCTGAGGAGTCTGATGGTTTGCTGCAAAAGTCCTCCCTTTTTAAAGGAGTCTTATCAGTCTTGGGTCTTTGCAGGCGTCTTCTGGTTCTACTGGTTATCAGTTCTGGCTGTCCTCAGCCTGTGTTGGCTCTTCACGATATGGTCTTAGCTGCAACGCCCTTGGCTGCTTACCACACTGCTGTACACGAGGGACTCTATCTTGCTCTCTCCAAGAGCTGTATCTTCAAATATAGAAACATCCAACCTCTTCATATGAAGATTGAAAACAATTGTGTTCATTCCATAAATATTTATTATGTGTCTTTTTGGTGTCTTTCCCAGTCAGTGGACCAATCAATTTAAGCTGAAGCCAGAGCAGAAAGGCACAGTTGGAAGTCACAGTTAAGCAGTCTGCTGCTCACATGTTCACTCTCCTTAGTATGGCAGAGACCCTTCCAGACCTGACCACATGTACCTCTCCAGCCTTATCTCCTATTGTGAGCTTCTTTTCACAGAGAATCAAGCCTTGCCCACAACTGAGTTTTGCTCCTGTTGGCTTTCGTTGTTATTTTTGAGGACAGCAGGAAGAATAAATAAGCATACCATTACTAGAATATCTTTTTTTTTTTTTTTTTTTGAGTAAGCTCTATGCGCCCAATGTGGGGCTTAAACTCACTACCCCGAGATCAAGAGTTGCACACTCTAGTGACTGAGCCAGCCAGGTGCCCCAAGAGCATCTTTTACGTAAGTCTCTTTTACCTAAAATAAACTGATAAAGAAGACAGTTCTGGCCTAAATACAGTTTTAGGAGTCCTAAGATACACATAGTGGTGAAAGTTATAGAAGTAAAGGAGAGAGAAAACCCAGAAAGACTTACAGAATTAAAAGAACAAGGACCACGAAGAGAACCCTAGAGAGTACCAGCTTTTGAAAGGGTGTGCAGGTGAGGAAGAGTTAGCAAAGGAAACAAAGAGGGAATGGTCAGAGAGAAAGGGGAGATAGGGGCTGCCTTTTCATTTATAGTCCAGGGGTCATTATATGAATAGGGCTAATTATTTTTTTTTAAAGATTTTATTTATTTATTTGACAGAGAGAGAGGGATCACAAGCAGGCAGAGAGGCAGGCAGAGAGAGAGGGGGAAGCAGGCTCCGGGCTGAGCAGAGAGCCCGACTCAGGGCTTGATCCCAGGAACCTGAGACCATGACCTGAGCCGAAGGCAGAGGCTTAACCCACTGAGCCACCCAGGTGCCCCAAATAGGGCTAATTGTTAATAACACTTAATGTTTACTGAGCTCTTCTGTTCCAAGACTGTGCTAAGTATTGTAAGCATTATATTTACTTCACTCTAACACTTATTATCATTAACAGGTAGGGATGTTGAGGCTTTGAGAGGTCAAGCGGTGTGCCCATGGTCACCCAGCATGGACATTATGTGGCAGAGCTGCAAGTCACACAGAGCAGTCTGGAACCACAGCCCAAGCTCTTGACCACTATGTCACATATAATGTCTTCTAATTGGTCTGCATACATAAAGACTGAAATATTTCAAATATTTTGCTTTAAAGTGATACTTACAGATCCTTAATATTCCTACCAAATACTTGTAGTGTTATTATGTGAGAAGGAACTTAATCCCTTAGGTCAATTGTTCTTAAGCTATTAAGGACCTTTCTGATCTGAACAAAAAAAACCCCAAAAAGCAAGAACGAAGTCACAGAAAACTTTAGATTGTCTTAAAAAACATCTCCCTATAGCAGAGTGCTGTTTTTGATCAAGACGCGTCTGAAGTGAGGTCTGTTTTTCATGAAATATCATATGCAATTTAGTAATTCACACCAGAAATAAAAATAAATAGTATTTTTAATAAATAATAGAAGAGAATGCTTTGTATATTACCAGAAGCCTCCAAATTACATTTGATTATTCCTTTTCTCATAAATCACTAAATACTGGGGACAGACAGGACCTTAGAAATAATTCATTCCAGGGGCGCCTGGGTGGCTCAGTGGGTTAAAGCCTCTGCCTTCGGCTCAGGTCATGATCCCAGGGTCTTGGGATCGAGCCCCACGTCGGGCTCTCTGCTCAGCGGGGAGCCTGCTTCCTCCTCTCTCTTTGCCTGCCTCTCTGCCTACTTGTGATCTCTGTCTGTCAAATAAATAAATAAAACCTTTAATAAAAAAAAAAAAAAAAAAAAAGAAATAATTCATTCCAAATCCTTATGTGCCAGATGAGAAACTAAAGCTCAGAGAAATGAAATATATTTTCTATGCTGTGGCACAGCCAGGTCCAGAATCCAATTTTCCTTCCTTCTCAATCCCAAATTCTTTCAAAAAGGGTGTGGCAAATATTATAATTCCCAATTTATAGTCTGGGAAACTCACTTTGAAGTAAAGGGATTCCCTAAGAGTGCCACAGGACAGGGCAGAGGAAAAAAAAAATCTTTATGAAGATTAATTAGACCTGTAATCACACACACTTCTTTTTGAAAACTGTTTTAATATCAGTAATACTTATATAATACCACACATCATCATAAAGATAAGCCACCAAAAAAAAAGAAAATTAAAACTTACCTCATAATACCACTGTGATACAGGTAAACTGTGAGTTATAGCAAGCCAGTTTCGGTGTACTTCAAAATCTGTGGAATGGCTACTCAAAACAATCAGATGAGTGAAATGAGATTTTTGTCACATTTATTAATTTCAAGTTTCCTTCTCTTTTTTTCTTTTCTTTTTTTTTTTTACAGTAGGCTCCATACCTAGCCAACTTGGGGCTTAAACTCCCAACCCTGAAATCAGGAGACTCCAGCTGAGATCAAGAGCTAGATGCTCAACTGACTGAGCTACCCAGGCACCCCTCGATTTCAGATTTCTAAAATTATGCTTTTTTTTATTTTTATTTATTTTTAAAAATATTTTTATTTATTTATTTGACAGAGATCACAAGTAGGCAGAGAAGCAGGCAGAGAGAGAGGAGGAAGCAGGCTCTCTGTGGAGCAGAGAGCCCGATGCGGGGCTTGATCCCAAGACCCTAGGATCATGACCCGAACCGAAGGCAGAGGCTTTAACCCACTGAGCCACCCAGGTGGCCCTAAAATTATGCTTTTAAATGAACCAACACTCTTATATAGTCATAGCTTATGATCCTATAAAAACACAAACAGGCATTATATAATCCTGAAACAGCTCACTTATCTGAAGGCCAGACTTCCTTCTGGAAAAGCTGGGGATCTATATGTAAGTGAAAAGAAAGGTTCCTGGAGTTATCTAAAGGGCTGACCAAAAGCTCATACTTTTTCATAAGGGAGGTCCTCTGGCTATTGTTCAGAGGTGACTTACTTTTGTTTACAAAGAATTCTAACAAAAGTCATTATCTGGAAAATGTTTCACACACCAGCTAGATCTTCAAGGATAAGTAGGAGTTCATCAAACAGAGAAGGTGGGAAAAGGCCCCTGCCCTGCCTTTCCCATGTCTCCAAATTCCTCACTATATACAAATAGAGTCAAGCATCTCCCTTGCAAGGGAAGAAACATGTTCTCTTCCACCCTTCTAAATTCTGTAGCTGGCCTAAGAATGAAACTGACATAAGACAGAATAACAGGAGGAAAAAAGCCAATTTTAATAACACATATGTATCGAAGCTCCAAAAATAGATATAAGAAAGATAGGAGACTTAGAAGGCAGCCAAATGACTGAGGTTTATACATGACCCTGAGCTGAGGAAAGAGATGGGGGGCCTGGGCCTTCAAATGGGAGGAAGGCAATTCACTGGAAGCCAGAAGAGGATGTTTGGTGCCCTGCCAGCAGAAGAGTCTCTCAGGTGAAAAAGTGATCTCGAGTGGTAACAGCTCTCTTCCCAATACAGGCCCCTTTTCTAATGTATATTTTCCTTGCAAAAGAGTAACTCCGGGGCGCCTGAGTGGCTCAGAGGGTTAGGCCTCTGCCTTCCGCTTGGATCATGGTCTCAGGGTCCTGGGATCAAGCCCCGCATCGGGCTCTCTGCTTAGTGGGAAGCCCGCTTCCCCCTTTCTCTCTGCCTGCTGCTCTGCCTACTTGTGATCTCTCTGTGTCAAATAAATGAATAAAATCTTTAAAAAAATTATTAAAAAAAAAAAGTAACTCCTACTCTGCCACCAGAGCTTCTCCAGTGCCTGCCATTTCTCCAAATAATCAGCCCCAAATAATCCTGAAGCCAGAGACTTATTTTGGGGTGGCATATTCTGCACCCTTTTCCCCTCTTCAGAATAATTTTTTTCCCATTTGTCCACTCTGTACTGCCCCTCCACGTCTCGAATAGCTCCTGATACATGGATGGGCTCAACACATTCTTGCTGAGTTAACTCTCATCAAAGTCAACCATTAGTTCTGCAGCAAAACTCGATGAACACTTCCCAATGTTTTATACAACCTTTCCAGTGACAACTCTCCTGATTTTCCTAACCAACTGCTTCTATGTCTCTTTCATGGCTTTCCACTCTAACATTTATCAAGTAAATGCTCATGTTCCCCTAGGTTCAGTTCTTGATCCTCTTCTTATGCAATTTATTCTGTCCTGGACAATCCTATTCACACTTATTGTGTCCATTATCAACTGTATAATGGTAACTCCCACACCACAATACAAGCTTGATCTCTTTCCTGAGTTCTAGAGATAGACACCCCCAAATTCCTATGGACAATGTCACCTTAATTTCCCACGGAATCTTCTAAATCACAATTCAAAATTGATTTCATGACTTAGGAATTCCATGTCTAAGCATACACAGTACTCAAAAGAAATGCATTTACCGGGGCGCCTGGGTGCCTCAGTGGGTTAAAGCCTCTGCCTTTGGCTCAGGTCATGATCCCAGGGTCCTGTGATCGAGCCCCGCATCGGGCTCTCTGCTCAGCAGGGAGGAGCCTGCTTCCTCCTCTCTCTCTCTCTCTCTGCCTGCCTCTCTGCCTGCTTGTAATCTATCAAATAAATAAATAAAAGTCTTAAAAAAAAAAAGAAATGCATTTACCTATGTTTACCAAAAGATATGTACTGGGCTTGTCTTCAGGCCTTCAACTACATGTCAATTCCTCAGAGACTTTCCCTGACACCCAATCTAAAGTAAGTCCCCCTAGTTATTAGTCCTCTGATAGAATCCCATTCTTTTCCTTTGTAATGCTTTTAATACAAGTGTAGTTATGTAATTACATATTTGCATTGATTTGTTTCTGGAACTATTATCCTACAAAACCACACCCTTTACGGGGTTAGTGATCATATCCATTTTGCCCTCCCTTGTAGTGTCTAGCTACAGTACCTGATATGTAAAAAGCAGTTTACAAACATTTTGTTGACTACATTTACATTTATCCTGTAGCTTCCCTCTCACATGCCTGGGTTTTACAATTTGAGAAGCAGAGAATTAACTACAACTACATACATCCTTAATCTTGGACTAACAACCCTGAAGACATATCTCTAGGCTTAAGTAACTAAAGCAAGTCACTAAAGCACGTAACTTTGAATGTACAGATTTACAGTTAAAAAAAATTCCCTTTCACTCTGATTTGAGAGAAATTTCTTACATTGTATTAAGATTTTTCCAATTTGCTTTTACAATGGGAAGATGTTTCTTATTTACTTAACTCCTTCTTTTTCTAAGTCTCTGTAAGTCATTTTGCTAAACTTATACACACTTCATTGCTTCTGTAATTTCATATACCCAGTAGTATGAATGTACACTCTATACATAAAGTTCTTCCTTCCATATCCAACAGGATATCACCAAGAACTTGAACCAAAGGATACCAGTAAACCAAAACCTAAACTGGTAAGGGGTAGGGAGACCTAAAGGGAAGGGAGAAAAGGAATGAAGGGAAAAAAATCACTGCATAAGAGTTAGGAAGAATGAATAGATGGTGGATGCTAATATTAATAACTATTGAATACCCACAGTATACACATTAGTTGGTGGTTGCTTCCTTACTGGTTTCCATGCTTTGTGAGACTTGCCCCTCCATTTTTCAAATAGTCTAAACTTGTGTGATCTGGCTACTACCCACCTCATCCTGTGCCAGTCCCCTCCTCCCTTAACGCTCTTCAGCCACAGTGGCCACTTTCTATTCCCAGAATGCTCTAAGTTCTCTCCCACGACGGGGCCTTCACACTTACTCTCTCCGATGCCTGAACTGCTTTCTACATTGCTGATTCTCTTTCATCCTTCAAATTTTAACTTAAACACCACCTCCTGAAAGAGTAAAGCCTTGGCCTGTAGTCACTCTATTTCCTTCATAGATCCTATCACACATTGAAACTATCGTTTTTGTCTATTTGCCCCCACGAATTCTATCGAGGGCAAGAACAGGAAGTGTCTTTCTCACCACTGCACCTCCAAGACTTAGCGCCTAGCCAGCAGGCAACTGATAAATACCGTCAAATGAATGGTGGAGGTGGGTGTTCTTAATCTGCGCGCTAAGGATGAGGGCCCAGGGCTTATACACTTAAGTCAAGACAGCGCCAAGCCTGAAACCAGCCATCCAGGGCTGTGATCAAGTTCTCAGGTCAAATAACAATCAATCGGCGGAGCGGGAAGCAGAGCAGCGCCCATATGACTTCTAAGTTTCCTCTCCTCCTACCACCCACGGGCATCCACGCTTCTCATTCCCGCTTTGACCAACCGCGGTGCGCGTCCCTTACTAGGTGGGGATGAGAAGGCATTTGAGGAGAGTCACCCCGAACGCCAAAGCCGAAAACCAATTTCCATCACCAGTCGCAATTCTGACAGCAGCCATTACTTCAGCGCCCCGCGCTTTCAACCAACGGGATCTGCATCCGGGCTTCCGCGCATGCGGGGAAGGCCGTCTGAGAGAAGGCTCCCGGGCCGCTGCGCGCATGCGCGCAGCCACTCCGCCTGCGGGACTCCGGAGCTCTGGCATTTAAACCTAGAGCTTACTGTACTTTTACCGCCCGGCCTCTCACTCGGGCTCCGCAGGGTATGCCTGCGTCTGCGTGGGTCTCAGGGCGACGAGTTAAGTTTCGGTAGCTACTTTATATTTCCTTTTAAGTATTTGCTGGGCGTCTGCTCTGGCGTTTCCTGCATTTTGCTTGGCAGAACCTAGCGTTGGTGCCTGGGCGAGAAAGAACCGTGTTTCGTACTAGTGACACAGTGGAGAAGACAGCATTGTAACCCGAGAGTTACAGGAGACAAAAACACCCGAGAGTGCTGGAGGTGCCTAATCCCGGCACCCGAACAGAATTGTTAGCTCCAGGTAGAGAACGATGTGAGCAAAGATACAGAGGTGAAAAACGTTCTGTGCTCCTAGAAACTCCGAAGTAGGCTCTAGGTGAAGCACCTGTCTCAATGGAACCTATTCTAGAAGCAGGCAAGAGTCTAGTGCTTGTCGCGCAATGTATAAATGACTTGGGGATCTTGTGAAGATTCAGGTTCTGATTCAGTAGGCCTAACAAACTCCCAGATCATGCCAGTGCTGCTGGTGCGTGGGCCGTAAGGGTCAAGGCAGAGGAATGGAGTTAGCCTGCATCATGTACTGTCCGACTTTGGACGTGACTAATCTCTCTAAATCTCAGTTTCCTTTTCTGTAAACAGGAGATAAAAAATGGTGTCTCCCGCATCAAGTGGTTGTGAGGATTAAATGAGAATGCACAGAAATAGCTTGATAAGATGCCCGGACAGAATAACGTTTCAATAAATAATGTTTCAGAGACGTTAATTACCTTGTTGAAAGATGCACAGCATGTAGGTGACAGGTGTCACTCTCCTCATAGGAGCTTACGCCTTCCTACATCTTCAAGTGCTACCTACCTGAATGTGACACTGAAATGTGTATCTCAATCCCAGCCCTCATCTTTCACCTCCAGACCCTTATAGCCATTTGCTAACAACTGACCTCTCTTAAATGTTTTAAAGGCAATTTGCATTAGTCTCCTATTCCTGTTATAACACATCGCCACAAGCAAAGCACAAGTTTAAAACAGTACAAATTTATATTCTTATGACTCTAGAGATCAGAAGACTAAAATCAGTCTCAATAGGCTAATGTCAAGGTGTCATTAGGTTTGGTTCCTTCTGGAGGCCCTGAGGGGAGAATCTTTTCTTTCTCAGCTTCTAGAAGTTGTCTGCATTCCCTGGTGTCTTCCTCACATAACTGTAACCTCTTCTGTATTGTCACATCTGTTGCTTTTCTGGAGTCAAATCTCCCTGTGCTTCCCTCTTGTAAGAACACATGTGATTACATCCAAGGCCCACCTGGATAATCCAAGATAATCTCCCCATCTCAATATTTAATATAATCATTTCTGCAGAGTTCCTTTTTCCATATGCAGTAATATTCACAGGTTCTAAGGATTCAGTTTACCATATACCTCAAGCTCAATAAATCCCAAACTGAACTCATGATGTTGATATCATTCAGAATGATATCAACTGTCCAGTTGTTCACCTCTCCAACCCTGTACCTGAAAACTCACTGTGAATTGATTATCTCAACATCCATTCCCAATCCCCTTCTCCCTTTTCCATTTTTTCTAAAGGGAATAGAAAAGTTAAGCAGTTGATCTTCCAGCTTTCCTGGCAGCTAAGAGCGGCCTGATGACACAGTTATGTCAGGTAAGACTTCAGCGGAAATCTGCTGGGGATAGGAGGTGGTGGTTTGGGAAAGGTTTTCCTTTCTTGATAAAAGAGACAGTTGTCTTGAATTTTGCCCCTTTTCCCAATTCTTCCTGCCTTGGACTTGATCATGGGGCTTGGAGCTGCTTTCGTTTGCGAGGAAAAAGATCTTCATGTTGGCCCTGGTGTCAGTGAAATGCTTAACAAATCCCTCCTACCTCTGGAATTTTTATTATTGTGTTATTGTCTAAAGAAACTTATTATCTGAGGAAATGCATACATACATGCATGTACACACACCACCTTTACGCGCTCAAGCCACTGTTGGTCAGGTTGTCGGTCATTCCACAAAAGTATTCCTAACTGCTATTGCCAAGTCCTGTCTTTTTGACCTTCCTGTCTCTCACATGCATTCCCTCCTCCTCACCCTTCTTCACTCTACCTCATTGGTCTGCTTTCAGGCTCTAGTACATGCACATTCCCTCCTGTCATTGTGCCTTTACACATCTGTTCTCTTATCTGGAATATTCTTTTTTTAATATTATTTATTATTTATTTGACAGAAAAAGAGAGAGAGAGAGCGAGCACAAGAAGGGGGAGTGGAAGGTAGAGGCAGAGGGAGAAACAGTCTGCCCGCTGAGCAAGGAGCCTAATGTGGGGCTCAATCCCAGGACCCCAGGATCATGACCTGAGCTGAAGGCAGGTGCTTAACCAACTGAGCCACCCAGGCACCCCTCTTTTTTTTTTTTTAAGATTTTATTTATTTCAGCAAGAGAGAGAATAAGCGAGAGAGCAATAGCAGAGGCAGAGGCAGAGGGAGAAACAGACCCCCACTAGGCAGGGAGCCTGATGTGGGGCTTGATCCCAGGACCCTGGGTTCATGACCTGAGTCAAAAGCAGATGTTTAACCAACTGAACCACCCAGGCACCCCTGGAATATTCTTCCTTTTCCCCATTAAAAAACAAAATTCAACTCAGTAAATTTAGAGATCTTATGCAATGATTCATGAATCAGCAGCATCCAGTCTAGCAGATTGAGAAGAACTCTGAAGAGCTGTACAAAACGAAAGAGGCAGGGAGGAGCAGGAACAAGAAGTTGTATTAGGCAAAAAAGCAGGTTGGTTATTGCTTTGGATTGGGTTACTTTCCTTTAGG